TCTACATTATTTGCTCAGGGAGACCCCATGCACATCATTTACAATACTTTGATGTGCTACCAGAGCTTACAAGACTACTTATGTGTGTGTAACCCCTTCTTCACTGCATATAAAAACAGTGTATAGACACTCAAAATTGAGACCTCCCTTAATTATACATAGCACATATTCAATCTTAATTCAGTTATAACATTCTATATAACATTCTATACAATGAGCACATCCCAGCATATATAATAATCATTATCTTAAACAGAGAATCAAAAAGTAGAGAAGATACATATAGATACTTTAAATCTCATATTGATATCAAAACCAAACATGGACATAAAACATATAAAAAATACATATACAGTAAAAAATTTTTTATATAAATACATATATATTATATATGGGGCCCCATATAAACCATACAAAATATATATATAAAAACATTCAAAGAACCAAATAAACAAATAATACAAAATATTAAAAATAATAGTAAATATATACTAAAATTAATAAAACATAGTAAATAAAAAAGAAAAAGAAGTAATAAAGTGTTAAGTATCAACAGATTCATGGACTCTGGGGAGGGTCCTACAAGGACAAGTTTATGGATGTGAGAACCTGAAAAAAATAATTTAAAAAAATGAAAAATAAAAATAAGTCACAGCCCCATTCCCGGATCCACGGAGTCAGAACAGACAAAAGATATATCCTGCATATATGGAAGACACTTATACAAGGACCTTACCTTATCTGTTCTCTTTTCTCAACATATCCTGAAGTCCTGGATCCGAGAATAGAAGCAAGACAAAAAGTAGGTTTATATAGGTCAATAATAAACATCAAAAAAGGCAACATATTTAATCGTGCCAAAACAATACACAAACATGTTATGTATATGTATAATTGTATAACGAAGATATTTTTATGGTGCATCCTCAATGATCTCTTATGCTAGAATTCCAAACAGAAGTTCTACTCGGTATCTGATGGTATCCCTAACATTTCCGTATCTTCAAAATATTACCACCCTCAGTGTAAGAAGAACTAAAAAAATTAAAAATAAGAACAAAATAAGTAGACATTAGAGTAAGGTCATCGGATAAGGTTCATCTTATCTATAGCATGAAAAATCCCGCTCCTGGCATGTATTAGACCTTTCCTCAAATTCTTGGAGTTTTTGTAAGCCATTATGGGAGCATTTCCAAATAGATCTTGTAAGCCAGTATCCTTACTCAAAATGTGCCAGTAAGGGAATTTGTCGTTCACTTGCATTTGTCTTATTATCAATGTTTGGGTGTATCACCCTCTCATTAGCATCCTGTAATAGATCATGTAAGTACCCTCTATCTTCAAATCTAATCATTCCATCTGCCCATTGTTCAAACTTTTCATCATCAGAGATGGCGTAGGAATTGCGAGTATGGTAACCCCTCCTTAAGCCTTGGCAGATGGAATGAGGAGAAATGCAAATATGCATTTCTATCCGTTGGTTTGGAGTACACGTCGAATTTGAATTCACTTAATTCCTTCTTTATCTCCACATCTAGGAAATGTAAAGCACTGTACTCCAAAGTCAGTTTGATAGTTGGGAGGGATTGCTTGAAACCCTTCCAAAATTTTAAAAGGGTATTAACAGGTCCGTTCCATAGAAAAAAAATATCATCTTTGAAACAAAACCATAATTTAACAAAACCAAAAAGGGGATGAACATAAAGAAAGTCCTCCTCAACACAAGCCATACAGAGGTTGGCATATAATAGGTTACTCTTATCTCTGAGTAACCCAGACAAGTCACTACCATGTTTCCATTCATATAATAAATACTCGTATTACAATTTGAATGTGTCCAAGACACAAGCCTTGGGATTTGGATTGAGTCAGATGCGATTAAATATTTGCAATCCCATTATAACTATGAATGGAGGAAGGACCCCATTACATTTCTAAGTATAGCCTTCACACAGTCCGTAAGCTATCTTATTCAAGCTAACTATGGTAAACATCAAACAGAAGTCTTATAAGAAGCCTGTTACATGACTGGAAAAAAACTTTTTATCTCATGGTCAGGGAGCATTATGGTCATACAAATGGTAATACTCCACAAGCTGCAATATTTTTTCAGTTCACTACCTATTCTAGTCTAAAGTGCATAGTACCACACTGCACAGATTGGTGTCTAGGTTAGTCTGGAAATGGAAAAGATCAGGGCAGCACTAAGTGCATTGTATCACCCAGTTTGTGAGGGAGGTATGAGTTTACCAAAATGAAAATCTGATTACCACGCAGCAATTATGAGCAATATAACCTATATGCAAACTGCCAGACAAACCGTACAATAGAATAGCATAATGACCATGTTATTTAAAACTTTGACACTTTAAGGGAAAATTTTCACTTATCCTCAGTAGCACAGTTCTCATACTTGCAAATGTGTTCTTAGCTCACTAAACATTATGTATCTGAACAAAACCTCTGTAAATAGGCACTGGCTGACAGACTTTGAACAGACAAGTGTGGATCTTAGGTCACCCAAATAACTGACTTCTCAGATGTATGCGTCTATGCATTTGAAACCTGAATTGAGAGGAGGTTCATGTATCCAGGCATGGGAGAGAGAGCTAGGAAAAGCTCTTAATGAAGATACTTGGGAACAGATAATCACACAACCTAAGGCCATGAATCTCTGTTCCTCACATATAGAACTGGACAAAACAATTTTCTATAGGTGGTATTTAGTCCCTACCCGCCTCCACACATCAGTGATACAAAAAAAACAACAATTTGTTACATACTCTTCAATTACCCAACTATGGGTAAAGGAAAAATTATCAATATCAGATCATATCAATATTTAATCTTTCACATTGTCATTTTATGTATAACGAGTAATTGGTCTTCACACATCATCCCATCAGCAAAGCTGTGTAGACAGCAAATAGAATGAACCTGCGCATACGAGAAAAGTATTAGACTACAATGTGAATTTGGCGATAGTACTAATTTCAAACTCCAAAAATTCTGAAAAACAGCAGGGGACCAATGGAAAGACATCATAGAAGATGCATTGAACTTAGTCTGACAGCCAACCCCGTAGAAGCAAATAGTATATTATAATTATGCCAAATTGAAGTAAAGTACCATTTTAACGATAAGGCTACTGCACAAATCAACACTAAGACCGATTAACTACAACTACTATATTGTGAAAACAGTAAAGTGAGACAAGCATACTCAAATTCCATTGTCACAGATTGGGTGAACATACCAAATAGACCCTATACTATTAAAGGACAATACATGAGTATAGGAACGTATCCCACCCCCTAGTTATGTTTTTATTATGCTTGATACTATAATACTTAAGACTCAGTCTATCCTTTAGCCACTTGAGACACAAAGCTAAGATGTAAAAATTACATTTCATTTACTCAATAGCATCTAATATCATTGTGTATGCGGTGACACTTGGAAATTATACTGCTGATATATATATGCATTCTTTCTATAAAATGTTTTATTGTAATTACATATGCGATCTGTATGATCAAGTCTTAAGTCTCAATAGAGAACAATTTGAACAAAAAAAAATATATTATTTTTGTTTAACATGTTGTGACAATCAACACCACCCATGCATGGTATAGTGACATTTAATGTTTAAATTGGGAAGCACTACCATATTCTGTGACATCCTTTATCACTAAGGTTGGTTTTATAAGTCATGTTTAAAATACTACTGGGTTCCAAGATAAATTTAGTATGTAACTATGTGTGGTTTGTCAATAATCTTATAGGCATGCTTCATGGTTTTATGATTTGTGAAGATTAAAAAAAAATAAACAAGCATAATGAAACTTTCCTATATGCAGTTTGACAATTTTTAGATAAGCAATTTCTACAAGAGATAAAAGTTTTTTCAGTGATTGGTCCTGTTTGAGTTCCCCAAATGCAATTAAAATGTAAGGGAAATCAACTGGAAACATACAAAAATACGGAATATCATATTTTTCTTAGAAGATAACTCTATATCTAATAGCTAAGAGAAATAAACTGGCAGCGAAAAACAAACTGATTCACTCATCTCTGGCTGTAGACTAAAAAGGTCATTTAAATGTATAGCTTACTGACAATAAACATATTGCAAGCAATTGGGAAGATGAGCCAACTATGAATGCTGGGAGATCTTAGAACTGATTTTTTTTTTTTTTTTACCTGTGGATTGTTTGGTTTCAGGCAATGAATTCCTGATACTTACAAAAACAATTATTGTTGTAATGTTTATATTACAAGAGAAGATTTTGTCACTGCATCCTAAAATACTTACTGATAACTCCCCACTGATACACTTATTCAGGAGAATTTTTTATAAGATGCTATATACATTTGAAGTTCATTGCTGTTTGCATATTTATGTAATTTTTACTCTTGCTGTGATCTGCCAGCATCATCGGCTAACATTCTTGTAGTAAAGTCATGTATACCTGCTGTGTATCTCCCTAAAGATGATCTAATGTACATGTCTTTATGGTGGGGAATATACTCTGTCATCCCAGTATCTTTTTCTTTATCACATAACTTTAATAGTCTCCTTACCCATGTAAATAGTTTTTCACACTGGTTTTAATAAATAGTTATTCATATTAATTAACAATATAAGAGAATTGGCAAAAATAAAGAAGATTTCGGAAACTATTTGATTAATAAGTCCCTATTAGTGATGTCCCGAACGGTTCGCTGGCGAATAGTTCCTGGCGAACATCGCTTGTTCGTGTTCGCCACGGACGGAGAACATATGTGCTGTTCGGTCCGCCCCCTATTCATCATCATGGAGTAAACTTTGACCCTGTACCTCACAGTCAGCAGACACATTCCAGCCAATCAGCAGCAGACCCTCCCACCTCCTGGACAGCATCCATTTTACATTCATTGTGAAGCTGCATTTTTAGTGAGAGGAGGGACAGTGTAGCTGCTGCTGATTTGATAGGGAAATTGATAGCTAGGCTAGTGTATTCACAGGCTGGCAGGCAGGCAATTGCAATTACATTACACAGAAAAAAAAAAGCAGACTGATGTTCTAGCCCTAAAAAGGGCTTTTTTCTGTGTAATGTAATTGCAGTTGCCTGCCTGCCAGCCTGTGAGTCAGGCTCACAGCATATACTGTGCCCACTTGCCCAGTGCCACCACTCACTCACTGGTGTCACAATAGCTTGCATTTAAAAAAAAATGTATTTCACTGTAATAGATTGAATAGCAGTTAGTTGTCTGCAAGCGTCTGTGTGTCAGGCTCACAGCGTATACTGTGCCCACTTGCCCAGTGCCACCACTCATATCCGGTGTCACAATAGCTTGCATTTAACAAAAAAAAACTTTTTGGACTGTAATATAATAGCAGTCAGTTTCCTTCACACGTGTGCGTTTCAGGGCCTGCCAGGGCACAGTGTCACACCAGTGCAACTCATATCTGGTGTAACAGTAGTGTACATTTAAAAAAAAAATACAATTTTGACTGTAATAGATTGAATAGCAGTTAGTTGTCTGCAAGCGTGTGTGTCAGGCCTACAGCGTCTACTCTGCCAACTTCTGCCACTGCACAGTGCCACTCATATCTGTTGTCACAGTAGCTTGCACGCATAGTACCACTAATCGAAAAAAAAATGACAGGCAGAGGCAGGCCACCCCGCAGGGGCCGTCGTGGTCGTGGTGCTGTGATTCCCTTTGGCCCTAGAATAATGCCCAGTGTTCAGAGGCCACGTACCCTGAACTCGAAAAGTTCTGAGGATATAGTTTACTGGCTAACACAGGACACCCAATCTTCTACAGCTTCCGCTCGGAACCTTGAAGCACCATCCTCCTCCAGCTTAGCTTCGGGCACCTCTCAAGTTACCACTCGCCCGCCTGCCGCCACCACCAACACTAGCACCACAGCAGCTTCACTTGGTATGTCAGAGGAGTTATTTACACATCAGTTTGAAGAAATGAGTGATGCGCAACCATTGTTGCCAGAGGATGTAGATAACAGGGATATGTCTCAGTCAGGCAGCATTACACACATGGACGTACGGTGTGATGATGATGATGTTGTACCCGCTGCTACTTCCTTTGCTGAGTTGTCAGATACAAGTGAAGCGGTTGATGATGACGATGAGTCCGTGGATGTCACGTGGGTGCCCGCTAGAAGAGAAGAAGAACAGGGGGAAAGTTCAGATGGGGAGACAGAGAGGAGGAGGAGGAGACGAGTTTGAAGCAGGGGGAGGTCGTCGCAAGGAGCTAGTGGCACAGTCAGACAGCATGCATCGGCACCCGGGGTCAGCCTGACAGCACGCCAATCAACGCATTCTGTTGCCACCACCAGAATGCCGTTATTGCAGAGCTCAGCAGTGTGGCATTTTTTTTGTGAGTCTGCCTCTGACAACAGCGATGCCATTTGCAACCTGTGCCAAAAGAAAGAGTCGTGGGAAGTCCAACACCCACCTAGGTACAACTGCTTTGCGAAGGCACATGATCGCACATCACAAACGCCTATAGGTTCTACACAAGAGTACAGGCAGCAAACAAACTCAAAGCCGCCATCCTTCTCCTGGTCCAGCATCTTCAGCCACGTTAACCACTGCTGTCCTCCTTGCCCCCTCTCAACCATCCGCCCCTCCGTCTCTCGCCTTGAGCAGTTCCTGCTCATCTGCCCACAGTCAGGTGTCTGTCAAGGACATGTTTGAGCGTAAGAAGCCAATGTCACAAAGTCACCCCCTTGCCCGGCGTCTGACAGCTGGCTTGACTGAACTCTTAGCCCGCCAGCTTTTACCATACAAGCTGGTGGAGTCTGAGGCGTTCAAAAAATTTGTAGCTATTGGGACACCACAGTGGAAGGTACCCAGCCGAAATTTCTTTGCACAAAAGGCAATCCCCAACCTGTACTCGATTGTGCAAAAGGAAGTAATGGCATGTCTGGCACACAGTGTTGGGGCAAGGGTCCATCTGACCACTGATACCTGGTCTGCAAAGCATGGTCAGGGCAGGTATATCACCTACACTGCGCATTGGGTAAACCTGCTGACGGCTGCCAAGCATGGAATGCGTGGCTCTGCAGAGGAGTTGGTGACACCGCCACGACTTGCAGGCAGGCCTGCTGCCACCTCCTCTACTCCTCCTACTCCATCCTCTTCCATAACCTCCTCGGCTGAGTCCTCTTCTGCTGCTGCGTCTTGCTCCACATCAACGGCACCCCCCCAGCTCCCCATGTACTATTCCACAACCCGGATACGGCAGTGTCAAGCCGTCTTGGGGTTGACTTGCCTGAAAGCAGAGAGTCACACCGGACCAGCACTCCCGTCCGCCCTGAACGCACAGGTGGATCAGTGGCTGACTCCGCACCAACTGGAGATCGGCAAAGTAGTTTGTGACAACGGAAGAAATTTGTTGGCGGCATTGCATTTGGGCAAGTTGACACATGTGCCGTGCATGGCACATGTGTGTAATCTGATCGTACAACGCTTTGTGCATAAGTACCCAGGCTTACAGGACTTCCTGAAGCAGGCCAGGAAGGTGTGTGGCCATTTCAGGCATTCCTACACGGCCATGGCGCACTTTTCAGATATCCAGTGGCGAAAAAACATGCCAGTGAGGCGCTTGATTGGCAACAGCCCGACACGTTGGAATTCAACACTCCTAATGTTCGACCGCCTGCTCCAACAAAAAAAAAAAAGCCGTTAACGAGTATTTGTATGACCGGGGTGCTAGGACAGCCTCTGCGGAGCTGGGAATTTTTTTGCCACGTTACTGGATGCTCATTTGCAATGCCTGTAGGCTCATGCGTCCTTTTGAGGAGGTGACAAACCTAGTCAGTCGCACCGAAGGCACCATCAGCGACATCATACCATTTGTTTTCTTCCTGGAGCGTGCCCTGCGAAGAGTGCTGGATCAAGCTGTAGAGGAGCGTGAAGAGGAAGAGGAAGAGTTGTGGTCACCATCACCACCAGAAACAGCCTTATCAGCATCGCTTGCTGGACCTGCGGCAATGCTGGAAGAGGATTGTGAGGAAGAGGAGTCAGAGGAGGAATGTGGCTTTGAGGAGGAGGAGGAAGACCAACCACAACAGGCATCCCAGGGTGCTTGTTGTCACCTATCTGGTACCCGTGGTGTTGTACATGGCTGGGGGGGAAGAACATGCCTTCAGTGAGATCACTGAGGACGAGGAACAGGACATGAGTAGCTCGGCATCCAACCTTGTGCAAATGGGGTCTTTCATGCTGTCGTGCCTGTTGAGGGACCCTCGTATAAAAAGGCTGAAGGAGAATCGACCTGTACTGGGTGTCCACGCTACTAGACCCCCGGTATAAGCAGAAAGTGCCTGAAATGTTACCGAATTACGGCAAGTCGGAAAGGATGCAGCAGTTCCAAAATCAATTAAAAAGTATGCTTTACACAGCGTATAAGGGTGATGTCACAGCACAACGGGAATCTAACAGGGGAAGAGGTGAAAGTAATCCTCCTCCTCCCACGACCACGCCGGCAAGGACAGGATGCTTTACAGACGTGTTGTTGATGGAGGACATGCAGAGCTTTTTAAGTCCTACGCATCGCCACAGCCCTTCGGGGTCCACCCTCAGAGAACGACTCGACCGACAGGTAGCAGACTACCTGCAGATATCGACACTCTGAGGAGCGATGAACCCCTTGACTACTGGGTGTGCAGGCTTGACCTGTGGCTTGAGCTATCCCAATTTGCGATGGAACTTCTGGCCTGCCCCGCTTCAAGTGTCCTTTCAGAAAGGACCTTCAGTGCAGCAGGAGGTATTGTCACTGAGAAGAGAAGTCGTCTAGGTCAAAAAAGTCTAGGTTACCTCACCTTTATTAAGATGAATGAGGGATGGATCCCGAAGGGATTGACAGTTGGCGATACATTCGACTAAAAAAGGCCTGATGAGGGGGACGTAACAGGGTGTCGCGGCTGCCGGCCCGCCGCGTGATATTTAAATCCCTAGCTCACCCCAGTACCTTGCCCTGTCGTGGTTTCCTGTTCTTGGTTTCCTGAGAGTGCTTTATCATTGTGAATCTGATTTCCTGGTATCCTGATCTTGGCTTTTCCCTGGTTATTCTGAATTCTGGTTTCCTAGACTTGGCTTGTGTAAACGGTATTGTGTATTTTCTGGCTTCCTTGACCTCGGCTTTCTCTTTGACCATTCTCTGTCTCTAGCGTATTCGTCCGGCCATTCTAAGGTCCGGTTTACGCTCTGTCCTTTTATTTTCCTTTTCTTGCCTATGTATATGTTTACATAGTTTCTGCGTGCTGGACCACACTAGTAGTCGTGACATTGGGATTAAACTGATAAGAATAGTACTACTTAACACACCACTCCTATCTGGTGGCACATTAGATTGCACGCGCAGTGCCCCAAATTTGAAGAAGGAGGACCGACCAAGCATCTTTTCCCATCTCCCGGTTCCTAAAATCAATGCCATATACACGTCCCCTGATAGGGGACGTAACAGGGATTAAACTGATAGGAATAGTACTACTTAACACACCTTATAATAATGCAGAGAGAGGCAACGCAGAGAGAGGAGTCTGAAGAAGAGGAGTCAGAGGAGGAAGGTGGCTTTGAGGAGGTGGAAGACCAAACACAGCAGGCGTCCCAGGGGGCTTGTTGTCACCTTTTGGGGACCCTTGGTGTTGTACGTGGCTGGGTGGAGGAAGAGACCTTCAATGACATCAGTGAGGACAAGGAACGGGACATGGCTAGCTTGGTATCCAACCTTGTGCAAATGGGGAGTTTGCGGTTGTGCAAATGGACTGTTTGCGGTTGTTTGCGGTGTGTTAAACGGGGACTTTGGTCTGTCACTGTGAAGCGGGTGTAACCCTTACACTACCTGATCGATACATCATCATACCTGATGTTTTAAAGCACGTTATTCCAAACAATTTAGGAATGTTAGGTGATTTATGCCCTTTATGGATTAAAACCAGACTCTGCATCAACTATGTAATTTTCCATGGGAGTTTTGCCATGGATCCCCCTCCGGCATGCCACAGTCCAGGTGTTAGTCCCCTTGAAACAACTTTTCCATCACTACTGTGGCCAGAAAGAGTCCCTGTGGGTTTTAAAATTCGCCTGCCTATTGAAGTCTATGGCGGTTCGCCTGGT